GAATTATAGCAAAACTAATCAAAACATAGCATTAGTTCAGAGCATCTATGTACCAAGTTCATCAAAATCTAATGAGTGGTTCTTAGATATCAGTGGAACAGTCATAGAACAGCTAAAAATTAGCTAATTATCATGCAAATTAGGTAATTAACAAGCATGGATTTTTACCAAAACTAATCAAATCTGCACATTGACCCAGAGCATCTGTGCACCAAGTTTCATCAAAAACTGATGTATGGTTCTTGAGATAGCAGTGGAACAGTCGGACACACATACACACATACATACACACATACACACACACACACACACACCCCCATACAGACACACTAAACTGCAAAGACTCCCATTATGTGCTTCGCACATGGGAGTCAAAAACTACCTCTATCTAAGCCCAAAAATTCTGATTTATGAAGCGAGCTAATATGTTTTACATTTGTGGCATATTTAGCTGTCACATTGATGAATTACATTTGGCAATTATTTGCTTTTCATGTAAGGAATAATAAACATCAAACAGAATAACGTAAGTTAATCTATACCGGTAAGAAGGATTTTACTATGAATAAAATAGTTCTGACCATGGTGGCTAATTCTAATTTTTCTCATATATACAAATTACAAACCATTTTAGTCACTTTGCTAACAGGAAAAAGATAACATTACGAACCAGATAACATCCAGATATACCCCGGTAAGACCTCTTTTAGATAATAGGATACAAGGTACAGTATTCATTGTAATATCTAACAGAGTTTTCACCATTTTCCCAGTTTATACAGTTCAATGAAGGATTTCTTTACTCATAAATGCAATCCTAACCCTGCCCCTCCCCTCATTTAAATTGTATATGCCCCCTTCAGGACACATATAGTTACCTGGAGAGGCATATACAATTACATGGGGGGGGGGCATATGTGTTGAGGTTAGGGTTAGGGTTAAGGGTAGGGGGCCTTAAGGAACTCTTTCCCAAAATGTTGGTCATCAAAACATACAAAGAATCCTTGAACAGTAAGCAAATTAAGGGTTAACCATTTTTAATAATAATAATAATAATTTTATTCAAGACGAAAATCTACTACAGAGAGCAATTTTATGGTTGTAAAACAAAAACTGAAATAATAGGTCACTCAACTAAAATCACAAATGGCATATTGAATACATGTCATTATAAAAGAAAGAAAAACATATTAAAATATTATGGTTGTAAAACAGAACAAAACAAGTGAAATACAAGTTTAATTCCACAAAAATCATGAATTAAACATTAAATACTGAGAATGGAAGAAAAAACATGAAATTAAGTATAAGAATAAAACTACTAAGCTACTAAATACGTCATTGCATTAAAACTACCTACAGACTTATATAATAGAGCTGCTATGTTTTATCTTTTAAATTCATACTTGAATAGGGATGTATTGCACAGTTTATATTCTTGCAAAACTTGTCATAATTATTAAAAAAAAATTCTTTTCCATTCATTTTCAGATTTTTTTTTCTGTATGTATTTAAATAATTTATTACTGGTTACATCATATTTACTGCATTCTATTAAGAAATGGTACTTGTCTTCAATTTCATCATATGTACAAAATTTTACATATTTTTTCGTTTCTAGGAATTTTCTTTTGCCTGCCAGTCTCGATCAGTAGTTTATGATTAAAAATTCTAAATTTGCAAAAATATCACCTTAATTTAAAATCTTTTATATCAACTAAATAATTTTTCATATTGAAAGTAGTTTAAAATTTACGTGTGAAGATTCGCGTTCGGTTCGTGTTTGATCCACGTCTGATTAACGTACAATTGAAACATCCATTGAAATATCTATAATTCCCTCAAATGTTGATTTAAAGCAATTTCAGCTAATTTAACAATATTTTTGTGCAAGAAAAATAGAGATCAATTTAGTATTTTCAGTGGAAATCAAGGTACATAATGCGCATGACAGTTCCTTGACGCGTCTGCAAATGCGCAGAAGGTCAAAGGACAATGATTATAAATAAAATCATTATCAACTTCCTTGTTTCAAAGATTTGATTTGTTTTTTAAATTGAGTGGTGACATTTTGAGAATATAATTTTTTACATAAGATTCATTTCTTTTAAACATATTTATGCGTTTCTTGTCTGTTTCTAGGGCTATTTTATACTTGTTTGAGCCCATGTGACTTCCGATGTGCGCGAAACTGTAGGACTATTTATAACCATGATTTTCTCCAAAAGAAATAGGTTGATCCCTATTTTTCCTACAAAAAATATGCTATATATCAACTTTTGTGTAAATTATAGATATTACAATTTGTACGTCAATCGAACATAAAACGTACGTCAATCAAATACAAATGAACACAAATCAAATCAAACACTGTCTTCACACTCGTTTTAAATTTTCTGTATGAGGTTAGTTTGTTTGTTTGTTGCTCCATTCATTTAAAACAAATCTTCTTAAGGTAGAGATGCAGTTTACCTGACAGGTATTTTAATTAGTTAATTAGGAAACCAAGATGACCTCCCTTGTCCACAAAACTATACATTTTCGGAAAGC